CAGACCCCAGCTAATAGCTAATCAATCTGTTTGGTCTCTATATAGTTTACATTTACTACATGAATTCCTTTACAGATGGATTCTTTCAAGAAAACTGGGTTCGCCTTCATGACGAATCATCAGCGCCGTCTTGTCTACGGAGGAGAATCTCCTTATCATAATGAAGGTTTACTTCGTAGAACGAGGGCACTAAGCAAGGAACAACTGGAAAGGAAACTCATCAACCTGATCCGACTTCAGGCAATCGGAAAATCGGATTATAATCGGCGAATGAAGTTCGACCTCATTAATGCACCCACCATACTATCGGTTTTTGTTAGTGAGTTTTGCTCTTTTCAGTATTCCAAGTTATTTACTAGTGGAGTGATTTTTTTTTTAATCGACGGATGAAGTTTGACCTCATAAATGCACCCACCATACTATCGGTTTTTGTTAGTGAGTTTTGCTCTTTTCAGTATTCCAAGTTATTTACTAGTGGAGTGATTTTTTTTTTGTTTATTTACCGGTATATTTACTCATTGCTTGTAGATGCACCCTTGGCCAATGTGAATTCCGTCTTTTCGCCAGTAGTGCTATCTGCCTTCGTTTCATCTCCAACTCTTATGGGACCACTGATTCTGTCGCCATGGCTATTCTCCACCCTCATAACGTCACCTTGGGCACTGTGCCCAATAATTCTTTCCCCGTTTACCTTCGTACCTATTATCCTTTCTCCTGTTGCCATGTCCCCATTTGTGTTGTCACCTGGTATTTTCAGTCCGGCTATTCTCAGTCCACTGCTTATGGTGCCGTACATTCTATCACCGGGTATATTCAACCCGCTCATTTTGTCTCCACTTGTGCTAACGCCGTTAGTTTTGAGCCCTCTTGCAGCTTCCCCTGTCATTCTGTCTCCGGCACTTTTGTCACCATTAGTGCTCTCGCCAATGTACCACACGGCTTTCGTGCTCAGTCCATCGCTACTCTCTCCTCCTATCGCTTCTGATGGGGACAATGTTGCGATTGTCCTCTCACCAGACCTGGGAATGCTTTAGCCTATGCATTACACTAGTCCCTAGTTGCTCGTATATAATTATATACAGTATTGAGACGTAGTAGCTCGAATAGGATAGGACTGATTCAGAATGGAATGCAGAGGCTGCTAAAATTTTCTGAAACAGTCCAGCATTACCTGTTAGTGTAAACCCACTCAATTGGGTACTTTTAGAGCTAATGAGGTATTTCAAAAGGCACCCCGTTATCTAGTTTTAAACCCTTAAATCGTCAGAGAATTTCAGAGCAGACTAACTCGGCCTTATTGTGCCATGTTCAACTCAGGGTTGATTTAGGGTTCAGAATGTACACAAATGGGATCTATACACAAGGTTTTTCCTAGTTAGAAAAGGGGAAAGCGTCATTCCTGTGGCACAAACTTTTTTTCGTACCGTCAGTGGCTGAATGCCGTTCACTATGACAAAAACATTCGAAGGAAAGGCGGTAGGAATCAAACCTTCAATGGCAAAGAGCTTATTGGGTGAAACTGGGGCTACCGTTATGAGTTGCTGCACTGAAATGCCCTATCGCTTGAAGTTTGTAACAGAAACAGTTGGCCCTTGAAAAGGCGGCATGTGGCACTGGGGAAATGCACCCTCTATGTAGCGCAAAAAGTCTCAAAAACATTCCAAACGTGCTCCGTCCCCGATGAAGACTACCGGTAGAATACACGCCAACGGACATCTGAAGTCGAGGGAGGAGCGTATTTTACAATGTAAACAGGGGCTTATTGGTGGTGAATGTTCAAGGCGAAGTGCGAACTCGTCCAGATGCTTCCCACCGTGGTCATAGTATCCCACAACCGTAGACATGATTATGACTTCTCAGGGACGATATATTCAGGAGTTCTTATTGTTCATTTGTTGATGTTAATGAACTTATATTAATAAACATGAAAAAAATTAAACTGACTTAAAGTTTTTGTTCAGCGGATAGACTAAATACTCAAACAAACACCTCCACATTTCTTACTGAAGCCTACCGCGAGGCAACTTCAAAATAAATTGCAGTCATTGATGAATTCAACTCCTATAAAACATGCAAGCTGAATTGAAGCAAATTAGAACTTTTATTGCACCATTTCGAAATGGAAATTTCTCAAAGTTTAATCATGATGCCCTGTTTGGCCGGTACGCTGATTGCTTTGTCACTGAGATCGATCTTCTGACGAGCTCGATACACGTCTACACCGGTAGTGACTGCTGCTATCTTGAAAGAAAAAAAGTATAAACCTGACTTTTGATAGCAGTAAACGGTAAGTTGTAAAGCTGAAAAACAAAGGAAAATAGATTCGCATCAAAACACTCGGCATACCTCAGCCCTGGCCAGGTCTTTGTTCACCGGAAGGAGTTCGGTGTCTTTCAGGTGAGATAAATCGACTGAAACCACGTCCGAGCCAAAGTTTAACGTGATCACGAATGCCTAATATGAGAAGGATAAGTGAATAAAATTGCTAGGCTTAACGATTTTTGGTCAGAATGCGCCACGCATTCGTTTCAAGTTCAGGAAACCGTTGAGATTCTCAGATTCGAATTGGTCCAAACATGCAATGAACAGCCGGATAAGTCAGCTTTTGTTCAACTGAGGCTTTTATTTCTAAAAAAATTGTAGAAGATCATCTGCCTTCAAAGGAATAGAAGGGCTCGGACAAGGTAGGATTTTAATTCTTTTTGCTAGAAAAACTAAACTAAACTGACTAAACCAACTACCAACGACAAAATTAGCAATCAGAGTTCACGCTTGGTAAAGCACCACTTTTCCTCCTACTGTCTACTATCTATCTACAAAACACTTCTTCCAACGGAACCATCCAATAATTGGTGCGATTTGCTATTTCAGAATCACAACTGACAGCTTAGTCGAGAGACCGTGGGAGGGCAATGGCATGCAGCCTCCCTGCCCCATCAATGAGACTGGATCTCACGTAACAAAATACCAGGATAGCTGAATTCCAAAGAAATGTTCAGTTGAACACGCATACCCATGGGATAATGGTAACACTGGCCTGTATATCACCCAATACTCTCTGTTGTGTGAGTAGTGGACCGTCTCCCGGACAAGATTCTGTAATGACTTCCGAAGAGGGAAACTGGATTTGTTGAAAAAAAGGGGAATAGCACTTTTCAAACACTACTTCGATTCTCGACGTGATCAAATACGTGGCACATCCCGGAAAAAATACCACTCACATGTCCAATACAGGTGCCATTATCACCCTTGACGTATCGTGAGTAGATGACAGCATCGCCTTCTACGGTGTGTCGTATCGTACTGCCAACAATTAGGGCTTCATCACGTTGGCGCATTTTGGCAAGCTTCTGGTAGACTTTCAGGGGAGAGTTCTCTTGAGCAAATTGTGTCTGAAAATGAAGAATAAGTCAAAACAGGGAGCCAAAAAAGGAAAAGAAAATCCTCGGTCGCATCCTTCCTAGCAGAGATTCCTCAACCAAAAGCGACTTCTGAATATTGAAAAAAAAAGAACTAGAACGCCAAAAAAACCCTTTCAAAAGCCTCACCTCGTAATTATCCTGCTCATCGGTGCTGTCACTTTCGGCGAAAAATAGCTTTCCGATGTTTGCTTCGCTTGACGAAAGGAATCCATGGTGATCATCACCAGATGGTTTCCACTGCATTACACCACGAGGACTTGGTGGATGGCCAACGTTCGCCAAGCCAAGTTCTTGCCCATAGTAGAGTGACAGTGCTCCAGGGAGGGTTAGCTGGAAAAATAATGTGAATTCTAAAATCAATCACCCACCTTGATCGCCATTACCTACTAATTGAGGTACCCATACCCATAGGTATCATTCATACGAGTAGTTTCTTGGACTAACCTGCATGAAAGTGAGCAAATTGGCTGTTTCAGCATCGAATCGAGACGCTAGCCTGCTGCTATCTGGATTCGAAAATTGCCAATAAGGAGTGAATGAGTCGACCTGCAAAAACTGTGATGACTCCACTTTTTTCTTTTCTTCCAGTCAGGTGCACTATCCACAATGGCAGACTGGTGCAAACGTTTCAGTTCTATTCTAAACACAAGGAGTCTCGATACGCATTGCGGTTACTGTCTAGTTGTCTCAGGAGCGGATCGAGGCTACCCTTTAAACTCAGCTGAGGGATAGGGGCGACCGGTGAACGACTCTCGACGGTAACATGTGCTTTCGAACCAAGTCCCTGATCTATCAAGGAACGACTTTCAGTCACGACTTATTGTGCCGTTGTGAGAGCTAGCTCCAACACCCTACTCACACATATACAAATATAAAAATCTAAAAATTCAAAAAGTAAAAATTTGCAATATAAAAAAGAAAAATTGGTGCTCTTCCCTCATGACTAAAAAAGATCGAAGACAATGAATTTCCAGTAGAAAAATAATATTTGTTGATTCGCTATGCATTGCAGCTTTCGCACTGTATAAAAAAACTTAAGGCGGAAAGTGTCCGTTCAGCTATTATGTACGCACCCTACAGCATATTGAAGAACTGGTAACTACTCTTTCGGAAACTTAATGAAGTCGTGTAGTGAGTTCGCGGTAGTTCAACAGAAGAACAGAGTGCAGGAAAAGCACTAATTTGGGTTTCAATCCGGAACGATCACGCATGAAAAGTGCTATTCGAAGGGTGTTGGTCAGGATGCTCCACCGCGCTCGGAATTAGGTCACAGCGTTCGATGCTCGACCTAGCCTACCTTTACATGTAAAACACATAACCGTCTTGGCTGGTCGTGTGAGTCTCGACAAGACTAGCTAAGGGATCGGATTCCCTTCAATATATGACTAATTGCTCTTCAGCTTCACGACTACTTTAGCGATCACCTTCCAATATTCTTGAGTAAAATCATAATTCAAAGTTAAAGGATCGGAAGGCGGAGATATATATGGCAATTTTTAGGGTTGAATACGATTTAAGGGAGAGCTGGGAGTGCGGTCGAGAAACCGAGCATTGAGCGCTACCCGAGGACATGCGACTGTTTCGTTGACTTCTGGTTCATAGCCACTCTTGGCTAATTGTACCAAACCCACTACTAATTGACTGAGTTTCCTCACCGTCTCTTAATCAAAAGGGCAACGGTCAGTTAATCAAGTGAACCCTGTCTAGTCGAATGGCTGGCTAAAAGGAGGGTACTCTGTAAGCGACTGAAAAGGCACACGATGAAACTGCGCGAAAGAGTCACAGAACCCTACTCCTCAACTATCTTTCAAGAAAGATACACCGAAAAACGCTACGAATAATCCCTAAACAGTTATTATTGAGGGTTTCTTACCTGGTGTCTCGAATATGCGTCGTTGAGAGCATTGTGAACGCAGGCCGCTACTCCATTCGAGCATTTCTCGGTTGATAACGAAGTGAATGTGTTGTCGATAACATAATGAAGATCACCAGTCTCTTTTGCTTTGGCATGAAGATCCTCGATGTCACGAAGTGATGAGAACAGCACGCTGAAAGAAGTAAATCATTAAAACTGTTAATTTCTGGCGCCGATCAACCTGCCCCACAATTGCGCCATGCACGAGTTTCCCATCAGATTACGTAGCATCTATTGAACGCATTGGGAGAGGTGGGAGGCAGATTCTTCTGCATTCATAGTTTAGCCGCAGTGTTCGGGTAGAATTGTTTCAGTAGAAACCATAAATACTGGCTCCATTCTGAACTCTTAGACTGATCTTTTTCCTGAGTTTTTACGAGGCTCTAGTTGGGGCCCGGACTCAACTAAACCCAAATATCAATGACACAAGCTAAGGAGAACAAAATTACGAGAAAAGAAAAATTGTGAGTTCCGTGGGCAATCCTTTCAGGGCTAAGGGACATGCTGGATGTCTGGATATGTTCTCTGGAGCCAACACTGCTTCTCTGGGGCAGTTTATGGTTGCGATATGCTATAGTTTCAAGAGTTCCAGTGACTTCATCCAAAAGGTTGACGGAGACTTCTTCCGCCTGGATATACTGCAAATCGTGGGATAATTTTCAAATAATCCTTGTATCTCCTTTACTGCAAATGTGTTTTGTGGCAGTTCCCAGACAGTTCCTGTCGAGTAGCCGTCTCTCCAACACGGCAGCAAGACACCACTCGATCGTACCACCACACAAGTCCTTCTGGGACCACTACCGTTACCAACGCCGCCATGGGAATGTGATAAGAACTTGTGCAAACATCGATCATATCAAATTCTGTCATGGGAGTCGCAAAGATACTGATGTATCACATTATAATTATCAAATGGAAGTCATTATACTATCTGCTGATTACTGTAGTCAAACTTCAAAGTGTTTACAAAGCAGTTCAAATATTGAAACAGTTCTGACTTAGTACTACAGAAAACTCTTGATGGACAAAACTCACATCTTCTTCTCGCGCAAATCATCATGAGACTCAATGAATTGCTTGATCGACGACGTCAACCCTTTCAGCACATCAATCGCCGCGTCATGCTAAAAAAACAGAAGCTAACTCCGATCGTACTGTGAGTGACCGTAGTTGTTACAAGAATTTCTGCGTAGGACGAACTCACATCAGGTTTCCCCAGGTCATCGACGGCTAGCTGACTGACGTGATCGATATGGAAGCCGTCAATACCGAGCAGCAAAAATTTTTTGATTGCTTCATAGATTGTTAATTTCACTTTTTCGCTTGACCAATTCAGTACGGGATTCGACTCTGTCGGATAGCCAAGGTACCTTGAAAAGATCAAGCATATTGAGGGTATTTCATATGAGAAAATCGTGAAAATAAACAAATATAAATCCAGAAAATATGATGAATATTAGTAAATTAAAAAAAATAAAAACGCTCCCATAAAAGAAGATGATCTGATACAAATAATATGATTACAAATAATGAAATAAATAAAAGTAGATGCATAAAGCTGAAGGATTCAATTACTAAAAGTGGAAAACAGTACTTTGTCGAGTTCACGTTAGGGAATGGATGGAAGTTGGGTTGGTTGTAGGCTGCTGTGCCTGCAGTAGCTGTTACAAAAACATCTGTTTCTCCATCACGGAACCATGGATGTTGAGAGGACACGGACGACACTGGTAGATCCATTACGACGTACATCTCTGAAAAATAGGTAATTCGTTTGATGCTAAGCAAAATAACGACTTTAGAATCTGCGTTGTTTTGAATCTTCAGAGACTTTGGAGGAACTCATACTCTGTTTCGTCTAAGGTACCGTCGTACCCTATACTTTCTTGGGAACAAGGATATTCAAGACTTTGTGCCTCTTTAACTGTTTTCTCCGTAACACATACTTCTAACCGCAGTCACTGAGTGCTTAGCTTATGTAGTTCTGAAAATCGTGCTGCTGAGAAAGAAGCTTTTTGTAGGCAATCGTTGAGCAGGAGTACCAAAGGAAATATCAGTTCCAACGCTATTGTGAGCTTGTGCATATAACGAATATCAGACTCAACTTTACCAATGGAATTCCAACCAATAAAGGTTGCATAGTGAACAGCAATCGCGTAAGGGAAAAAACTGAATTGGGCATCAACTGATACCATACACTACTGAACTAGCGGGAAAAGTTTTAGAAGTCTCTTAGAAACTCCAAAGGGGAGTCAAATAAAAGTCATACCCCCTTTGGAGTCAATGTGCAGATTGCCGGCCGTCGGGAATCGCAATTGAGCGGAGTACACTGACAAGGACATACCTCTATTATGAGCCGCATCGATAAGTTCTTTGAAATGTTCCTCGGTACCGAACCGTTTGTCGACTGCCATGTGATCGATGACATTGTACGAGTTGAAGTAGTCATCCTATAACGAAATCCGGATTATATTTTTGAAAAAGCACCTGACGATTATTCTGAAAAGTGGGTAATATAACATAACCCATATCAATTCAAGATTGCCTGCAAGTATTGCCTACCACTACAGCATTGCTTTTTTTCCTATTCAGAATGGCAAGGTTCAACCGCACATGTAGTCCAGTCAGCAAGCCTTGTTTTCATTACACATCCGCCACCTGCGGTCCTAATCACGTCGTAGCATTTTGACATTTTCCCAGGAATTTCTGGGGTTAATTAACTAATCCCAGGGGAAATAGCGGTTTAT